TATTGTTTTAGTATCTTGAGGAGTATCAGCGCACCATTTGGGTTATCTTGCTTTGCATCAATTAGTTTTTAAAAAGTAACATGGGCTGCTTGTGAAGTAGTGAGCTCCCTTTCATGGAAAGTGTTCAAGCAGAGGCTGACTGACTACTACAAAGGAAATTATAAAGAGGCTCATAGAACACAGGGAAATTGTTGTCTCTCATTCACATCATATGACTGGACCATCTAATGTTACTTATACTACTTCTCATAGGCAGCTCTCCCTTAGTAATATGTTACCCTCTGCTTATAGCCACCACAAGTTAAGTCAGCAGGCATTTATTAAATACCTACTATGTGCCAGGCATTGTGCTAAGTCCTGGCAATACAAAGAAAGGCAAAAATAGTCCCTGTGCTCAAAGAGCTCATTCACTGTTTAATGGGGAGACAACATGCAAATAATTATGTACAAAGAAGATATAGGCACTCTAATTGGAAATAATTCAGGGAGAGAGCAAGGGGGCACTAGCGGCTGTTTTTATTTTTTGTGATTATAATTTTCCCAAGATCATGGTGTTCCATAATTTGCATCCATTTGGTGTCATGGAGAAAATATCACTGTTTTTTTTAAAAGGCAGTTGGGGTTAAGTGACTTGCCCAAGGTCTCACAGCTAGTGTCAAGTGTTTGGTCTGAGGCTGGATTTGAACTCAGGTCTTCCTGACTTCTGGGCCAGTGCTCTATCTACTGCGCCACCTATGTGCCGCAGAAAATATCACTGTAGACATGTGTTTGATAACACAGCAAATAACCTGCATTTAAATATTTGAAATTAAGGAACAGGGAAGGGGGGGTTGGATGGAAGTACCAGAGATGCTTCTGAGTTTCACAGACTGCCTCCAAAAAATCATCTCCCCCCATTTGAAAATGTTTTTTTTCCCTGGAATCTAGAAGACTCTGAATTCCAGAAACATAGTAAAATAAGCTCTACTTGAACTTGCATTACTATGTAAAAGCAAGACTCAAAGAATAAATCACCAGTAGAATTCTGTTCAACATACCATATTGCATGATCTCGAGCCAGCTTGGCTCTGTGCCAGTTACCAAGGAGAGCTGGAGGGGGAAAAAAATCACATTTCAAAACAGTGCAGCAAAATACAGCATACCCCATAGGTATTAAAACTCTAAAATGCATCTGCCAAAGCCAAAAACTATGTTCTCCCTGATATAAATCTTAAATTAAACACTTTTATTGTTGTTTAATTTGTTAAGGTCACCTCTTCCCTGAAGACAAGTTGCTGTCAAAGACAGGAATCAAGTTCAGGCAACTTCAGTCTCTGGGTCTTAAATCTCAACCAAATCCTTATTTGTTTAGGAATCTAGTACTTGCTTTGGCTTTGAATATGTCAAAAACAGTACTGGAAAAGTGGCAGGCTGCTCAGGAGACCTGTCTGAGAAGGGCATCAAGTCAGATGCCACTCTCTTAGGGAAGGCATTAAGTTTGGGTTTGAGAAGCCAGAAGGAAGATTTTGAAAGGATTCTGGCACACTCGCCTGTTGTGCCATGACATCCACAAAGATGGTTAGGGATGCGCTTTGCTTGTCTCTCCATGTCTTGAGAAAAATGTTAGGAGACACTCTAAGGTTGTGTGTGCTGAGTCAAACATCATCAAACCCATTTGGGCCTTGGAAAAGCTGTTGTATGCCTGCCACAGCTGAGAACATTTTTTATGAAAGGAAATTCATTTTTAACCACTTATCTTGTGCCTGTACACTGCTAGACTGACCCACACTCAGACATAATCTTGTCGACTTGTTCCATATTCCCCAGTTCCATTCCCTGATCCTCTGTGCTCTCTGTGTCTCCCGAGCCCTTATTTAGATGATCTGTTTGTGAAGGGAGCTGCCAGGAAACCAGTCCACTTGACTTTTGGGTGTAAGCACCTCGGCCAGGGCAGCAGACACCGGAGCCAGGACATTCACACCCCTTTAAATATTGTGTAACAGGCATGAGTGTAAGCGACTTGGTTGTCTGTCCTATCAACAGACAAGGTTTGTCATTTAATTGTAGAGCAATCTGAGCCTCTCATCAATTCAACTCACAGGAACTATTAGCCAAAATGGATAGAAAGGTTACCACTCTTTTTGTCAACAAACTTTCCATATAGAACATAAAACTGAGGGGGCAGCTGGGGCGGGGCAGCTAGGGGGCACAGCAGATAAATCACCGGCCCTGAAGTCAGGAGGACCTGAGTTCAAATCCAGCCTTAGACCAAACGCTTGACACTTAATAGCTGTGTGACCCTGGGCAAGTCACTTAACCCTAATTGCCCAAAAATAAAAAATTTAAAAATTAAAAAAAAAACCTAGAACATAAAACTGTGGATCCATGTCGAAGAAAAACCAATTCACTCATATACTCAGGGTATCCTCACAGACACCCAATCTCATTTACTTCTTCACAATAAGTAGGATTGGCAAAATGGAAGACTATAGAAAAGGAAGAGAAAAGGTGCTACAGACTTCAGACCCATTCTTAAGATATATTTTCTCACAATAAATGAGCACTCCAAGTATACAGTTTCATCCATTTGGGTATTTCAGACAAGTGTTGGGCCTTTGGGGGAAAGGAGTCATAATTTTCTGGATTGGTTGGTCAGTCAATAAACATTTATTAATTTCCTACTATCTGTTGGGCATTGGGCTAAGCTTTGGATCATTGAAGATGGTACATTTTTTATGTCAGTTAGCCAAATAATTTATCTTCATAGACCCAGTGGAAATAAAAAACAAATCAGTGGATTATGACAACTGAGTATATTTTTGAGGTAAATCAAGATCAGATGTAATAATGGTGATGAATAATAATTTTCTTAGAGCTCCGAGAGACCTAGATATGGTATAATAAGCCTTAATTTTCCTCATTAAATGTGTTTGGCTGTAGTTTTGAAAAGCAGCAAAGTCTGCCCTACACAACCACACCTAATTTAAACTTTAAAATGAGAAGCCTTTGAGTTCAGCCCTCATAGAATAGGGAGGCAACAGTCTGATGGAATGTTAAGCATTTGTATTTATCTGTATCTAGGAGGAGGATTTTAGGCTATTTAGAAGCTAGCCTGGCTTACATAATTTTTAATGCTTAGTTGTTTCCAAATCTGTCTCAAACTTTTTTCTTGTTAAGTGACCAAAGAATTTGACACAGCAAGGAAATTACCTGTGCTTCTTTGGTTTGTGGTATGCTTTCACTGGATAAGCAGAGCAATATAAAGGAGAAAACACTGGACATAAAGTCAAAAAACCTTCTCTTACCCTTGTGCGCTCACATATAGTGGGAACATTGCCTTCCGTTGTTCTTTCTGCTACCAAGTTGTCCCCTTTCCAATCAGTCCTTTACTCAGCTGCCAAAATGAATCTTCAAATGGCACAGGTCTGCTGGTTATTTTATTACTTTACTCAAAAAGATTCAGTGGCTCCTTATTACCTTTAAGATAAAATATAATTCTTTAACCTGTCCTTAAGGTCTTCTCAAAACTGGCTCCAACCTTCCTTTCCAACCTTATTTCACATTGCCCTACTCCACTCACTCAACATTCCAGGCAGCTTGGGTGACTGGCTAGTTCTGGAGATTTGTCCAGCTTTTTCCTGCTTCTGCTCTTTGATAGAGGCTATCCCTTGTGCCTGGAGTAGATTCCTTCCTTATCTCTGTCTTTTGAAATCTTTCTTTTCCTTCAAAGCTCAGCTACCATATCACCTCCTCCATAAAGATTTCCATAATTCCTAAGATCTGTGGTGTCAAACTCAAATAGAAACTCAAACCAAATACAGCCACTAGTCCGTACATAAGGAGCCATGTTGTCTCATAGTGACTTAGTTTTAAAGTATGATATTTATCTATATTTTCTTACAATTTTATTTATTTTGTTAAATATTTCCCAAATATATTTTAACCTGGTTCAGGCCACACTGGGAAGTCTTGTGGGATGCTTCTCACCTGCAGACCATATGTTTGCAATCTCTACACTAAATGGAGTTGATTTTTTTTTCACTACTATTTTCCTCGTAGCCCAGATCTCTTCTTTGCCCCTGGTATTATAACTAGATATATGTAGCATTCCACTCATGCAGTAGATTATAAAGTCAGTCCTTGAAGGCAGGACTGTTTCATTTTTAAAATTTTTATACCTCCAGAACCTAGAATATTGTGCCTTGTTCACAATCAGTAAATAGTTGCTGGTTGAATTGCCTTTTGGAATCCATAAGACTTTCCCTGATCCCTGAAGGTAAAGGGGATCACTCCCTCTCTCCTTCCCCAAGTCTTTCCTGCTATGTTTTGATTTTTCTTCTAATTAGTATTATAATTATTTGCATATATGTCTCATTCACCTACTAGAATGTGAACTACTGCAGTGTCCTTTTCCATCTTTGTATCCCTGTCTGGCACAATGCTGTGTACACAGTTGGAATTTAATAGATATTTGTTGAATTGACTGAAGGGCTCACCTCTGCTGTTTACTAGCTGCATAATTGTGAATCACTTAACCTCTGAGCCTGTTTCCTCATCTCTAAAATGGGAATAATACTACTACATGCCTCTCAGGGTTTTGAATACATCAGAGAAAGTATTGGAAAATGACAGGGAACTCAGGAAATGGATCTGAAAAAGATATCTGGGTTTATCTAGCTCTGTTATATATTATATAAATATAAACTATTAGTATTATTTCTAGACATTTTTAATTAGACTTGAAGCTCCCATCCTAGAGAAGAAGATTAAGAAAGCTGTCATCAAAACACTCTCTGATGTTTACTAGAATTTACGTCAGGTGCATTGGATGTGAGAATATACGTAGGAAATATGGTCTGTATCCATCCGTGTTCAACATATGTGAAGGAAAGAATGCCCATAAGATCAGTTTTATGAAAATATCCTAACCACTTAAGCAGATACTTACTGAGCCACATTTCACCTCCAATATTATTTTCCAGTGCTAACATATCAATTCTCTATCTTTTGTTTACTTGTAGACGATTTTGCAGAGGAGGAGGAGGTGCAGTCCTTCGGTTACAAGAGGTTTGGTAAGTAATGAATACCGTCCCCATTCCTTGTGTGTTGTTGCTGAGATACAGTAAAGAATTGTGGAGTAATCAGAACAAGATCAGTGTTGGGCATGTGCTAGCAGAGACTTTTCCGATGGACTCCTCTGGTTCCAGGGATCTGTTTTGTATTTAGTTTGACAATGGGATGTCCGTCAGTGGCTGATGTAACTGAAACTGGTGCCAGTAGATGAGCTGTTATGATGTAAGTTCAAGGGAGATGTATCTTGTGGGAGAAATGCATTTTTCTCTGGGAATAAACCTCTAACAACTGTAAAGCCCATTGAGGATAGCAGCAACTAGAAAAAGAGTTAGGGTGATGGAATCTCCAAGGGGTTACTCACTGAATATAAGACTGACATTTTAGCTAGGTGAAGAAGTAGTAAAGATGGGACATGTAAACTTTTAACAAGACAGAGGTTAAACACACAAGATTTCTTGATTCAGCTGTTAAGAGAACAGCTGTATTTCCCTTATGTGACCTGTTACTCCTTTCTCACCTAAACCCCAACCTCACCACTATCTCAGTTAACATCAACTTATCAATGGTAGTGATGTCATTCTGGTCCTCTTAGAGAACAAAGAACAACAACCAAAAAAATGTTCCTTCAGGTTTCTTGACCAGGATGCAACCTGGAAGTCATGAGGCAGCCATGGAGGCACTGTCTGTCTTGAGAATGCATTTTGTGGATCCCGTACTTTGGTTTTTCAAATTCTCAAAAAGCAAACAAAACAAAACAAAAAACCAAAAGCATTGCAGAATTTAAAGAATGTTTAAGGAGAAGCAAGTTCCATCTGTCTATATGGCTTTTATGGGGGGGGAGGCGGGAAAGAGAGACAGAAAAAGAGACAAGGAAAGGAGAGGAGAGAATGAGAGAGGGAGAAGGAGAGAGACAGAGAGAGAGAGAGAGACAGAGAGAGAGACAGAGAGAGAGATACAGAGACAGAGACAGACAGACAGACAAAGACAGAGACAGGAAGAGACAGAATCAGAGAGACACAAGAAAGACACTGGAGAGAGACAGAGGCAGACTACCCTTTGATTAAAGTTAACAATTCCCAGCTGTACTAGCTCCCTACTTGTTTTTACCTTTTTTCCTTTTAAATGTCACTTCCCAAGTACAAACCCCTCCCTTAATTTTTTCCTTCCTTTGTCACTTTCTGGGTAAATAATGTTTTTAGATTGGACTACAGTTGTATTAAACCCACAGTTTCTCCATAAGCATGCAGACAGCGTAGCATATTCTGCTATTTATGCTGAACCTCTCTCTACCCCTGGCCAAGGCCACAGAGTCAATATTTCTGTCATGTGCAGTTGTGTTATTCTGTTTGGGAGTTCACTGAAGTGGGGGAGAGGCAAGGGAGAATGAAGATGAAACTAGAAACTATTAAAGGAGGCCCTCAAAAGAAAGAAAAAGAAATAGGCAAGATAAGGGGAAATAATATAGCAGCAGTGATTGGTAGACAGGCAGATACAAAATACGAGACAGAAAAGCAGTTAGGAAAAAAAATTGAGATACCTGTGAGCAAAGGATATCACCAAAAGTATTTTGAACAGTGAACAAAAAGAATTCATTTGGCAACATTGACTTTGAGAGAAATTTTATTTATCACTTGCAGGAGAAAGTTTCATTGCTCTGAAATTATAGAGAGATTAGTGGGAACTTTGTGAAAAGCAAGAAAAAATAAAATTTAAAAAATTGGAGGGATTAATTTATGATAACTAAGGAGCTAAATGTGTAAGTAGAAGTTGCTGAACAGTGATGACCAAAGGGAAAAATGTGATAACAGCTTACAAATATTTGAATAGTGTAAATTCCAAGAAGTGAAAGGAATGATACTGGGTGGTACAGCTTACCGGGAAGGGTGGGATGTCGTTATGAACGAGAAAATTAAATCAGGATAAAGAATCTTGATGATTTTCAGATAAACTAATGGATGTCTCATTCAGGATAAAATTAAATTTTACAGTTCAAAGGGGGATCTAGGACTTTGTGTGGTCCAATTCCTTCATTTTACAGAAGAGGAAACTGAGACCCAGTAAGAGGTGATCTGACTTGCCTAACTCATTGTACTACACGTACCAGTGCTTAGCAAAGTGCCTGGCACATAAGAAGCCCTTAATATAAGTATTTATTGACTGAATAGAACTGATGTAACCTGCACTCAGCACAGCCACTATAACATGTCAACATGTCAGCATGCTATGAAGTTGAGTTTATGAAGAGATATAAATTTATATATATGTATTATATCACATATGATATAATATATACCTCCAAAAACTATAATGTGCTAGATGGGAGTAACTAGGTGGTGCAGCAGATAGAGCACCAGACCTGGAGTCCAGAAGACCTGAGTTCAAATGTGGCCTCAGACAATTACTAGCTGTGTGACCCTGGGCAAGTCACTTAACCCTGTTTATCTCAGTTTCCTTATCTGTCAAATGAGCTGGAGAAGGAAATGACAAACCACTCCAGAGTCTTTGCCAAGAAAGCCCCAAATGAGGACATGACTGAACAAGAACTGAAGTGTTAGATACACTACCTAAAAAATGATACAGGAATGAATCAATCTGGTGTGAGTATGGTCAGACTGGATAACATGGATGACTTAGCTCACTGATTATAGTATATCTTCCTTAATAAAATGAACATACAAAAATCTGAATTTAGAAAAATTATGGAGATATTTACAGCATACAACATTAATAAAAGATTCACTATAGAGGCCCTTTAAATAACATGCTCCTTTATCATACTTAATATTTTTTATTTACAAAAAATACAGTCTTTCATGGACCTATTTATTGCAGAAAATAAGGGACAGGTGTTATATTGTAATTCTATTGGTGTTATTTAATCAGTTAATCAGCAAGCATTTGTTAAGTGTTTATTTACTATGTGGTAAGTAGTGTGTTAGGCACTGGAGAGACAAAGACAAAAATGAAACAGTGTCTTTCCTTAAGAAGTTTACATGTTCTAGGGAGAAAAAAAGTGCACAAAAAGCACACGCAAAAGATAAACATAATGTAATGGGGGAAGGGAGCTTTAGGAACTAGTGGCTGAGTGGCTCAGGAAAGGTCTAACATGGGAGCTGGTGCTTCAGTTGAGCTTGGAAGGAAAGTAGGGATTCTTTTTAAAACATGGCGCTGAAGAGGGAATGTTTTCCCGACATGAGGGGCTGGTGTATACCAAAGCATGGAGATGGAGATTGGGTGTTGCATATGAAGAATAGCAACAAGGCCATTTTGGCTGTATCTTAGTGTGCTTGAAGAGGAGTAATGTGTGGAAAGGCAGGTTGGAGCCAGTTTGTGAAGAGCTTTGAATGCTGAATGGAGGAGGTCGTCTTTGATGCTCCAGGAAAGATGGAGCCTCTGGAGTACATCAAGCAGGGAATGAAATGGGCAGACCAACAGGTCAATTCAGTATAATCAACAATAAATGAACAAAATAGTCTCTTCTTTTGCATTTCATATAATATGTATATATGTACATACACACGATTTCAGTAAGTCATCCCCAATTATTCAGGTACTGCTTATTGAACATGTAGGATAGCGGCTAGAATGCTGGAATAGCAGTCAGGAACACAGGCCTCATACACCATATGACTTGTAGCAAACCACTTAATCTCTGTGTACCTCAATTTCCTCATCTGTAAAATTAGGGGGTTAAACTCAATGGTCTCTAACATCTATTCCAGCTATAAAACCTATGCTTTTTTAAACTATGGAGATATTCTTGTTCCCCCTCTGGGTCTCAGTTTCCTCTTCTGTAGGAGGAGGGGGTTAGATTAGGTGATGTCTAAGGTTCTTTCTAGCTATATCATTCTACGGATGACTAATCAGCCTTAGGCTTCTCCAGGCCATTTTTCTGAGCTCCCATTATTTGTTAGCACCTTTTTCTCAGCAAAGTAAAGTGTATAGTGAGGCTGAAATAGGCCAATTTGCCACTTGTTAAGTCACTCTAATAAAAACTTTGGTGAGGGAGATGTAGAAGGATTAACTACCTGGAATTTGGAGATTTCTGTTGATTTCAATTATCAGTTTTCCCTAACCCCTGGATAGATGAGCCTGGATAGAGAGGTATTAGTATGTAAATGATTTGGCATAGTTTATTATCTGTTAATTTTTAAAATGTGTATCATGTAAAGTGAATCAGAGTATGAATTATTCTCTTCCTCTTTTCCCCCCAGTTATCATTATCTTAAAATGTCTTAAGTGACATTGGAAAATTGTATTATTATTAGAGTTAGCAAAAAGAAAAGAATTAGTTCATATTTTAAAGGCATCAGTTCAAAATGTTGGAATGTATTTGATATAATGATCCAAAAATGTCTTCCAAAAGTTATGGGTTAGTCGTATGATTAATATGAACACATCCCCCAGTTTTTTTTTCATTAAAATGATCTTGGGAAGGAGAACGAAAAATGCCAGTTCACTTCCAAGGTGTGAATGGTAAAGTGTGGAGTTCTGGATTATCCCTTCATTTGCATTTGGAAACTTGAACTTGGAATTCTGCTATTGAGTTTCTCTAAATGGAATCCAAGAAATGAAGAAATTCATAATAGAGATAATTTCAGAAAAGCAAATTGGATAAGCCTTAAAAGATAAAATCTCTAAAGATTTCTGAGGCCTTCTTAAAATTCTACAACCCCTTTTTATTAGAGGAATTGGATAGTGGCAAGAATTTAACATTTTGCGTTTCCTCACATACAAAGTCACATTTACTAATAAACAGTGAATGCTTTTTTTTCAAAAACTAGAAATGTATAGATATTTCTCCTTCTTGTTTTTCTTCCTCCTCTTCTTCCTCTTCATCCTCTTGTTCCTGTTCCTCTTCCTTTTCTTCTTATTTCTCTTCCTTTTCTTTTTCTTCTTCTTCCTCTCTTTCTTCTTCTTCATTTCCTTTCTCTTCTTCCTTTTCTCCTTCTTTCTCTCCCCCTCCTCCTTTCTCCTCCCTCTCCTTCTCCTCCTCCTT